CATTTACAGCTTTGGCTGCTGAGTATGAATGACTTGGGGGGTGTCTGTGTGTGTGTGTGTGTGTCTCTACTGTATGTCCGTGTGTCTATTGTATGTCTGTGTGTGACTGTGTTTTCGTGGCTTTTGTATGTATGTCTGGAAGTGTGTGACGGTGTACGCACATTTACAGCTGTCACTGCTGAGTACGAGTGCCTTGGGGTGTGTCTGTGTCTCTCGTTTGTCTGTGTCTGTGTGGCTTTCGTGGTGGGGGGAGTCTGTGCTTCTGTGAAGCCAGGAAGCTCCTCCCTTCCCCCTCCCCCCCATCCTCACAGGTATCTGCACAACCCCAGGACAGCCCCTCCCACTGCTCCCTCCCCCCAGCCTGATAGCTTTCCCAGCCTTGCTGACCTGGAGCCTTTAGGGACAGGACCCTTGACCTGTGGCCTGTGGCTGTGAACGGCCCTGTGGGGATGGCCAGCAGCCCTGCTTTTCCCATCCTCGCCTGGAACCTGCCAGCTCCTTCCCGCTGCACTCAAGACTCGAGGTCTCCGTCCTGGCTGAGGCCATCCGGCTCTTTCTATGGTCCCTGAGGCCCTTGCTCTGACCCAAGCCAGGAGTGTGTGTCCAGCTGTGTCCCCTGTCAACACCTTGAGGCCTCTCTGCCCACTCTTAGCATCGTCCAGCTCAGGGTGAGAATGGCTTTGTCACATCGAAAGCCCCGAGGCCCAGTTTTGGAGAGCCTCTTGGTGATATCACCCACCGCCGAGGGCCTGTGTTGGAGCCATTTCACAGATAGGGAAACTGAGGCCCAATGCTCTTGGTCACGTTGGGGGATGTGGCGATGTTCAGTGTGTAGAGATGGCTGATGCTCCGGCTAGGGACAGCTGGAGGGAAGAGGACATAGAGGGTGCCGGGCCACCTCCACCCCCACAGGGCTGGCCCCTGGGCATCCTGGGGTGCAGCCCTGGGCCTGTGGGTCCTGGACCAGCTCCTGGCACTAAGATGGAAACTTCTCCACCAGCCAAGTCCATGTCTTGGCCAGCGGCTGCTGGCCTCCCACAACCTCCGACACTCCCCTTGGGAGCAGTGACTGCCCAGAGAGGGCAGGGGGCCAGCCCTGGGGGACAGGGGCGGAGGAGTGGCCTGGGGCAGTGGCTAAAAGTTCTAGAGTCATCCAGCCCCAGGTTTGAGCCTCTTCCTTATTGTGTGACCTTGAGCCACATCTTGACGTCCAGATCCTTGGGTTTCACAACTGCCAAGCAGGCACAGAGCAGGCTGAGGAGGGGAGGTGTTGCCTGGAGTTACCTGGGGGCAGCCATCCCGGGAGGCCATGAAGGAGCGGAACTAATTGCTGTGCAAACGCCAGGGGAAGGTGGCAGCGTCTGGGTTCCAACTGCCCCTGCACTGGTCTCACCCCTGCCTCGACCCTGACTCCGGAGCCAGCAAGCTCAAATCAGCCACAGGAGCCAGGTGCCTGTGGGTATCCCATACTCCTGGCCGAGCCTCGTTTCCCACACATCTGTGCCCTGGAGAGATCACAGTCCTGACCCATGAAGCTGCATTTTTAATGTGGGAGGTTCAAGGCTCTGTTCCACCCATCCTGCCTCACAGAAGCCCCAGTGTGGGACAAGGAAGGTTTAAAAATAAAGCATTGTAAATATCCGTGTTTCCTGCAATAGAGCCAGCCCCCGAGTCCCTCAGCCTCCCGGGCAGCCAGGCCCAGACAGCTTCCTTGAGGGGGTTGGAGGCTGGCGGGTGGCGGTGCCCATGTGTGCCCCAGTTCCATGCTGCAGTGTGAGTCAGCCAGTGTGATGGGGTGTCTGTCTGTCATCGCCTGTCCACGGGGTGACAAAGTGTGTGGGTTGGTAACAGAGTGGCCAGGGGTGCTGGGTCGTGTGAGGTGACATAGTGGCGTGCGAGAGCGTCACACCTGTGCCTCATGTGATCAAGTGGGGCTGGCCCTGAGCAGGGCCAGGTGTCTGGGGACCTGAATGTGATGGGATGTCCTCCACACGTGTTTAAATCAGTATGTAGCCTGGAGTGTGACACACACAGGCCCATGGTGGAAGTGGGTGGGGATCCTGGTGTCTCCACCTCCTGTCTGCCGTCTTCCCCACCCTAGAGGAAGAACTAAGTCTTTCAAGTCACTGTTGCCAGGGCAACTGTTTTACGAGCATCCACATGGTGGGCACATGTGCATGTGCCGCTCCCCATGTGTCTGCACGCCCCCCCGCCCCAAGGTCCCCAGCTGTGGGGGGGCACAGGCGGTGTGGGGTGAGCGGGAGGCAGCCGAGGGGCCCCTGGTGACAGCTTAATGTGGCTGACCCGGTGGGGGTGGGCTTCTGGCAGGGCTTCGTGTGTGCAGGGGGGCTGTGCCTCTCAGATCGGCTCAGTGTGTGTGCACATGCGACAGTGTCTCCGTGATCCCTGTGCATGTGTGGCTGTGGTGCTTGGGATAGCGTGTGAGTGTCACGGGTTTTAGTGTGACAGCGTGTGTGCATGCTGTGTGTGTGCTAGTGTGTGTCCCGGCACTAGGCAGCATGGGAGTATGTAACAGTGTGCCAGGTGTGTGCGTGCACCAGAAACCCTACTCCACTGCCTGCAGCTACCGTAAGGGCCAGTGTGCAAACGCGGTGTGTCTGTGTCTCTAGGGGAAGTGCGTGTGTGTGCGTGTTAGGGGCAGTGTGAGCTTCGTGTCTGTGTGGATGAGTAATGTCTGAACGAGAGTGAAGTAAGGGCCGTGGCATGAGTGTAAGTGTGTGTGTGACCGCGGTGTGCGTGTGTTTGAGAATGGCGCTGTTCTCATAAGGGTGTCCCGGTACATGTGAGAGCTGTGGTGGGGGCTGTGACCCTGCCTGAAAAGAAGGTTTGGAGATCTGTTTGTGTGAGTGGCCAACGGGGCCACGCCCTTCCCTCCTGGAGCGGGTGTGCGTGTCGTTGGGAGTGAGCACTTAACGCCAATAATGAAGGACACTTGGACATTGCTCACCACGCGCCTGGCACGGGTCCTTATACTTACTCAGTCCTTCCTACAACCCTTGAGGATCTGCTAATAATATAGATGGGGAAACTGAGGCACAGAGAGAAGTACTCGCCCAAAGCCACACAGAGCACAGGCTTCCGTCCTATCCATGCTGGGCTGGGACCCGGCAGCCAGGGCACCGCCACTTTTCTGACCCACGCTAACCTCACAGCGCCCCCAAAGTCACATTTCCGCCTACACCCCGCTTGCATGTGTACTGCACTCTGCGCACACCCATGCGTCCCGTACCCGCATGAGCCCGCTTACGGCAGGTGAGGCTGCCCGATTGTCCCCCATCACCGCGTACACTGCGCAGTAGTGCAAGGCCCCGGGGGGGTGTGTGTGTTGGGAGTGGGAGTGGATTCAAGACGGCCCTAATGCTCACACAGACCCCTGGGCTGCTAGGCGCAGAGGAATGCAGGCGGCCCAGGCTAGAGCAAGGGGGGCCCCAAGAAATTAAGCGGCAGAGGTGAGAAACCCAAGCGCCCGGCCTCAGGAACGCAGGCTGTGACCGGGACCGCGCGGGGAGGAGCCTGAGTGCGGGTGCTGGGGGCGGGGCTGCAGGGCGGTGTTTCCCTGTAACTAGGCCGGGGTGGGCGGGGCTACCGTGGTTCCAGCCCCGCCCGCCCCGCCCCTCCGTCGCCCCCCGAGTCAGATCGGGCCGCCAGGGGGCGCTTTGAGAACGCAGAGCCGTGGGGAGGGGTCCCCGAGGGTTTGGGCTCGCTGGCTGTTAGGGAGTAGAGCGGGGTCGTGACGCCCGGGAGGGCGCCCTCGGGAGCCGTGGGCGGGAAAGGGATCCTCCGCAGGGCTCCGAGGCCAGACTGCAGGAAACTGCCATTTGATGGGGGCGCTGTGGACAGCGGGTATCGTGTTTAGTCTTAGAGCATCACTTACTATCTTAGGGAAAATGTTTGGGTCTCAGTTCTCTAGAATGGCTTTCTGAGAAGGGGCTTCATTAGCTTTCTGGAAAGCGGACGTAGGGCGGGATCGGGGGCCCCACAGCCCTCAGGGGGTAGGGTAATTGTGGGCCGCGGTCACCGCCGTCGGGGGGAGTGCGGTGACTCTTAATTGCTTGGAGGGGGACCTAGAGGGCGTCTTGGGGGCCTGGATTTACGCACGATGCGCTGTCTGGGTCCCTGGAGTGGGGGTGGGAAACAGCTAATTGAGAGGGCGCTGCTCTGGGAGTTCCTTTGAGGGGCTTCCTCCTGAGGGGACTTCTTGGGGCCTTGCTTTCCGAAAGGGGAGCAGACCGGCCCCGGGGATCTGACACTAAGTCCAGCTCCTCAGTGCAGTGGGAGACGCTGAGAGCAGCTGGCACTGGCGTCGGGGCGCTGTGGCTCTTATCTTGGGGAAGGGTCCCCGCTTTCCCATTGGGGAGCCGCTGGGCTTTCCGGGGCCCGGGGAGATAGCCGTCTAGGGGATGCTGTGGCTCCCGAACTCCTGTCACCTGCGCTCCACGGGCCCCCTCGGGCGGAGGCGGGGCGGGGGCGGCTCCCGTCCCGGGAAACCCGA